ACTATGCCACTGGGCTGGCTCCAGTATTTTTTTTTTTAATGTACCCTAAATTATTGTTTATAAACGTGAGTCAAATATCATGTTTACTTTGTGCAAGATCTCCCGTATATTCTCCTCACACTAGGAATAAGTGAGAAGTCCTCACCAGGGCCAGGCCCCTGACCTGAGCCAGGCTGCCCTCTGGCCTTGTCTCCTGTGGTTCTTCCTCATTCTGATGGTGTTACAACCACAAGGAACTGCTCTTGTTTCTTGGGCACCTTCAAACACCTTTTCTCTCGCTACTTCCATAGGTCTCTTCCCACTTCATTTAGGGTTGCATTCAGATACCATCTCCTTGACAATCTATCTAATATTGCTACCCTTGTCACCCTCTAGCCTCTATTGTTGCTTCATATTTTTCCCTAGGATGTATTGCTACCTGCTGTTGAGTAAAGGGATCTTTTTTTGCACTACATCAACTCCAGTGACTAGAGGAATGTCTGGCATATCTTAGGTACTCAAAAACATTTCTTGAATGAATGAATGCATGTATGAATGAGTGAATGGAGAATTAGAACATGACAGAAGAGTCAATGGGGATCTGTGATCAGGGCAGTGACTCAATGAATTTCTTGTTTCAGGGCAAAAAATGAGATGGTTTTGCTCAGGATGCTTGGTGGGAAGATGAGGTCGGGGGCACAGACACCCAAGAGGATGGTACTCTCATTAGCTGACTTCTGGGGCAATAGAAGTCTGAGCTCTGTTAAGAACAGCAGGGATAGATATAAAGGGTCAAAACAAGAAATGGCCACACTAGTTGGCAGCCTGGATAAGGGAACAAAAGGCAGATATTGATCAAAGTGGACCGCAAGGCTTCCAGTGACCGATTGTCAAAGCCTCAAGGGAGTTAGGGCATTTGGAAAGGGAACTCAGGTGCTGCTGATGAGGGAAATGACGTGCCCAAATCTGGACATTCCAAGTTTGAAGTGTCAATGGAGTGTCCAACCCAAACCAGCTATTAGCAGTTGGAAATTGGGCAGCAGGGTTCCCATCATCACACAGGGAGGAGGCAGGTAGGTGCTGCAGGTGTATTTCTCCCAGAAATAGACCCTGGAGAAAGGATTAGAGAAAAGTAATTTATTAAGGAAGCCCTCATAAGAACGATCAATATGTCCAGGAAACAGGACCAGCAGGGAATGGGACACATCAAACTGATGAAAGATTCTGAGATCCAGCAGGATAGTATTTGTTAGTAGAGTGAGCATTCCTGACAGAGTGCTTTCACAGGCCACCATTCTGAGCAAGGTGAACGATGTGCTATAGTGGCCCCTTCAGATTTCCGGCATAGGCGGATAGGGCGTAGGCTCTGCTAAGCCCTAAATGTTCCTAATAGGGTATTAAAAATGTGTTAGGAGAAGGATTAACCACAGAGCCTAAAACCTGCTCAGAAATGCTATTTTGAATTTGAGTAACATATAGGATTTGATTACATCTGGGATACGTACTCCATCCCTCACATACCTACACAAATGAGCCTGACTAAGATTTAAAAATGGTGGTGCTTTGCGTAATGGGTGTTGTCAAAGTTAGAACAATAGATACTCTCACCAAAAGGGTTGAAGGTGGGGAAAATCAGTGTAACAGAAACAGAAGAGAAAGTCAAGGACCTGGGCCCAAACACACCCATAGGAAGGCTTTTGGAGGAGGACACCTCAGTGGAGATACGGAAGTGTGGATAACCTGGAAATCAAGAGTCAGAATCAGCATCAACTGCTGAAGAGAGACTGAGAATGATGAGTTCAGTAAAAACACCAGACCAGGCCGATAGGGGGACATCTGTGACCTCTGAGCAGGCAATCGTGGTACATTCCAAACATTGAGATCCAGGTCCCAGTGGTTAAAGTTAAAAATAACAGGTGATTATGAGAAGATGTAGATACTTCATTTTGAGGGACTTAGGAGTGAGGAAATAGAAACACCTCATGACAATTAGAAGGGGTAGCAAAGTTAAACTTTTAATATGAACAATGAAGACTATTAACTAACAATTATTAGGATGGGCTCACCAAACACCTGGAGCTAAGATTCTCATATTACCACAAACTTTACCCCCTCTACAGGAATATATTATGTACTGTATATTATACATATAACACTCGACATGAACAGATATTATATTATGTATTTGGTATTATTATACATTATGTGTATATATATATATATATATAAAACAAAATATCTTCCAAGCCAGAAACAAGAATAGCAAGCCTTCTCTTTGGACCCATTATGGGTGTTAACCAGTTAGCATGTGTCAGGACAGCAGACATCTAGAAAGAGAGAAGTCTGACAGAGAGGAGCAGCCAGCAGCAGGAATCTACCACTGACCAGGGCAGACATTCTCTGCGGACAGAATCATATAGTGATTAAGAGTTTGCCTTTTGGAAAGAAGCCGATGAGTGTTCTCGTTCTGGGTTTGCCACTTCTGAACTGTCTAAAATTGGGAAAGTACTTAGCCTGTCTTTACCCTTATCTATAAAATGAGAATAATAATATCCACCCACTCCATACCATTGTTGAGAAGACAAAAAAAGTTAATGTACAAAAGATAGTTAGAATAGTTGTGTTAGTACAATTCCTAACATAAAGTAACTTTGTAATAAATGTCAGCTATAATCATTATTTTATTATCCACTTTTTACATGAAACAATTTTAGACAAATGGCTGCACCAGACTTAGATAATAGAGTATTTGAATCATCCCACTGACTCCCCTTGCTTGGTTTCCATTCTCACTAAGACAATTTCTGAATTTTCTTCCTATGTAGCTCAGCCTGCAGAAAATGAATTCATATTCACACTGAAAAGAACATTCTAGTCTATGTGACACAGATTTCCCATTAAAAGTTAACATACTGACATTATGGTTCAGGCATTAAGAATTGAGTCAGCGTTATCTCCTCTCGCTGAGACAAATCCATTCTGGGTGTAAACAAGGCTGGGTTTCTGATCAAAACCTCCTGAGCGTGATGAGTTCATGAAGGTAACATCAATTGGTGGGCCTCTTGTGGGCAGCCTGGGATACCAGTTCCAACATCTACCTGGAAGCCGTTGAAGACACCCCAGGGGAGTCCTGTGCACACTGGAGTCTGTGGGAAGGGATAACACTGGCCTTGGTTACTTGGTATTGCTTAGTCTTGATATGCTCTAATATAGACATCCTTGCTCATCGTTCTTTCCAACAAACTACCTACAAAGACATCCATCTCACTGTTATACCCCATGTCTGAGCCCTAGCAGTTAGACAGGAACCAAAACCAACTGGGACACATGGAGCATGTTATAGGTTGAATTATATTTCCCGCAAAGCATATGTTGAAATCCCAACCTCCAGAACCTCAGAACGTAATCTTATTTGAAAATAGAGTCATTACATTAGTTGTTAATTGAAATGAGGCTGCAATGGAGTAGAGTGCACCCTTAACCCACTGTGACTGATGTCCTTATAAGAAGACAAGAGAGACACAAAGAGAAGGCCATGTGAAGAGAGACACGAGGAGGGAAGAAGACCATGGACAATATGGCAGAGATTGGAGTGTGCAGCTGCAAGCCAAGGAATTCCCCAGATTGCTGCACACACCAGAGCTAGAAGACGGAGGAGGGACTCTCCCTACAGGTTTCCGAGGGAGCATGGCCCTGCTGACACTGTGACTTTGGACTTCTTGTCTCCAAAACTGTAAGACGACAGATGTCTGTTGCTTTAAGTTACTCACTTGGTGGTCCCTTGCTAAGACAGCCCTAGGGAACTAAAGCACAGCCATGCCCACTGCCGGCAGATGTTAGAATCCTTCAGGCCACGCTGACCCTAGGTTTGCTTAAAGCATCATCCTCTGTGGAGCGTGGGTTTGACATGAGGTTGGAAAAAGACAGTGCTTCACCCTAAGCATTAAACACAAACAAGTAAAAATACTTTGTGAGACTCTAGATAATGTGTCCTATGTGAAAATGCCTATTTCTAGTATTAGTATATGAACTCAGATTAGCAACTGCACTTCCCTGTGAAAATGAAGACCCACGGCATGATTTAATTAGTCAATCTCTTGCAAATGGATGGTTCAGGAGAGAATAGCCTTAGCAAGATATCCTTGTAGCATTTTTATCCCTCATTGATTCTGCTCTGGTAAGCACATGCAATTCAACATCAAGAAAAAGAAGAGTATGCTGAAGATGCATCATTCTGTAATGCTGGAAGGCAGATTTATAGATTCCTGTATATTTTGAATGCCAGTCCGGTTCTTAAAAGTACTAGCATTCTTCAGAGTTATTTGTTATTTGGAGAAGCAGTGAGAAACACATACCAACAGTGAGAAGTTTATTATGTAAGTTTATGGTGGTAGGAAAATGGGATATATTGATTATTGTCTGATCAAATACTGCATCGCGTAGAAGTAGAACTCTTTATTCAGACATTCCAGCTTGAATGGATGGGTTATTAGCCAAAGAATAAACCGGCTGATCCCATGAAAGCATTTATAGTGAGGGCGGTGCAGCTGTAAAATAAAGGGTGCCATAAATTTTGTGCCCAGTAGCTCCTCAAACAGGCATTCAGGTTCTATACGGATGGCAGTGCCTTTCAATTGCATAAGCAACCCATTATCACCATCTCTCTCTTTGTGTACGTTACCGTGGCAGGCAAACCCCAAGGCTATTGGCAGAGCTGATAATTTTTTTAAACACGATTACCACTGCTTGGGATTAGGTAAACTGCGAGGAACCAGAAACAGGGCTTTCCAGCTTGAGAGCTTGTGCATTTGCCAAATGAGTGGTTTTGAAAATTGGCCTTCTTTTGCTGAAACACGTTTTTCTACGCTCTAAGAAACCTCTGGCATAAAAAAGAAATGTTGTGTCAGGACACAGGAGGCAAATTGCACACTGTGCATCCTATTTTTTTCTTCTCTCCTTTCTTTTGTGGAATGAAGACTGGCCAAATAGGGACTGTATTTGTATTCCTCCTCTCTTTACAGTGGCTCCATGACACGGTCAGAGGACACAGCACAACCTGGCGATGGTTGGGATACTGACCCAGAGCTCGGGACCCTATTTGCAGCAGCACCCACTCAGCCTGAGAGAACTCTGGGAGTAACAGGTGGACTGGAAAGCCAGGTAAGCAGAGCGGTCTCCTGGAGGTATTTGTGACAGAGCTGCAAAGGACCTTCCTGAGGTGCGCAGTGAACTTGAGGCTCAACCACGTGCATCTGAAGCACAGGTGATTCTTGCTGAAATGCCCTCCTTCTAATCTCAGATTTCCTGGCAGAAGATACTGCAAACTAAGAGTCAGATTAATATGCGGGAGCCAATAACAGTGATGATAAGAAGAACACAACACCGGAGGGGTCAATGGGGAGACCTCTCCCCACCTCACTGACAGAGGCAGACACCAGATGAAGCTGCAGTCCTGGCAGCAGCAACAGGGCCTGTAAGAGGGAGGTCACTACAGGCTAATGAAAGCCTACAGCTGGCAAAGCAGACGGCTCAGGATCCTAAGGATCTGTCCCCTAGACTGTGCACCAAAGTGACCACAAAGCCTATCCTCAGACCAGGGGTCTGGATTAACATCTAGGGCTCTGTCTTCTCTTGTTTCCCACCACTGATGGCAGAGATCAGTGATTTCAGAGATTTCAGCTAGGAATGCTTTGCAATTGTTATTAGCTTGTTTTTAGCCTGAGGGGGAGGGGGCAATACAATCAAGTTGTCTTGGCTCAGCATCCAAATCAAAGAGGTTTAAATGAGTTATGGGATTTCATCTGGGAGCCAGGAGATTGCACATGGTTATTTATTAGTCATCCTACCATGTACTTTGCATGTCCATCGCTTTCTCTTGGCCCAGAGGAGCAGAATCAATACGCTGCTGCAGATGCACACAGGGCAGCCCCTGGAAGGGGCAGGTCTGGCGTAGGATGAGCAGAGCACAGCTGAGAGCCGGCCAGCCCCAGGGAATGTCTGCGCTTGCAAAGGCCTACACTGTTGCCACCTCCGCATTGGCATTGGCCTATTTAGAGACTTGAGAGAGAAGCACCTAAACCATTTTCTTACTATCTAATGATGGAATTTGGTTCGGTGACAATTTGGAGACAGACAATGAAAATTTAGGCAACTGAATCTTAAGACATCATCTTAAAGGCAGATGAACACTTGGTTGTTTGCTCACACGCCTGGGGAAGGCCTGTTGGGTGGCGTTGGTGCTCCTTCCCTGTGGCCACGAGCCATCACGCCACGAGGGTGTCAGCACAGTATGTGGATGGACTTGTGCTGCCCTAGTCTCTGTGCGCCAGTGAGTCCCTGACTCCGACATCCCTTGTCTTCGCCCAGTGTTTTCTCAACCTGCCTAACGTTTTTTTCCTTGCAGCCCAGCTTCCTGTGGTGGTTTTAAAACTATATCCACAAATTCTTTGAGATTCTTCCCTACAAGAGATGGAGCCTAAGCTCCCTGCCCTTGAGTGTGGGCCAGGCATGCTTCTGACAAATAGAGAAGGGAGGGGATGAGGCTGTCTGACTTTGAGACTAGTCATAAAAGCTACAGCAGCTTCTAGCATGTCCTCTATCTCCCTCTTGTTCTCTGTCTCTTTGTCTCTGCATCTGTCTCTCTGTCTGCCTCTTTATCTTTTTTCTCACTGTCTTCTTTCTCTCATTCTCTCTTTCATCTCTGTCACTCTATTTTTCTCTCTTTCATCTCCCTCACTCTGTTTTTCTCTCTATAGTTTTCTCTCTTTCTGTCTCTCTCTTCTTTTTCTCTCTCCTGTCTGTCTCTGACTCTCTGTCTTGCTTTCTCATCTCTTGGTTCGAGCGAAGCCAGTTGTCCTATGGAGCAGCTCATGCGCCGGGGAACTGATGCCTCCAGCCTCCAGCCAGGTGAGTTAGTTCTTGAGAAGCTCACAGTCAGACCTTCAGAGGATGGCAGCCCAAGCCGACAGCTTGACCACAACCTTGTGGGACATGCTGAGTCAGAAGCACCCTGCTAAGCCACTGCCTGATCCTGACCCGCAGACACTGTATGTTGTGCTAAGCTGCTCAGTTTTGGTAATTTGTTACAAGGCCACAGAAAACTAATATTAGATTAGTTTGGATGCCTCCTTTCACATAGCTTCATCATTCTCTGGCAGAACTGGTCTTGCCTGGGATCCAACCTGGGCCCCGAATCCCTAAACCAGCGTACGGGCTCCTGAACCCAGAATCCGGTGTTCTCATTGGCATCTAAAGGAGTAGCTCAGAAACCTTGGCTGGCTCTTCCTGTATCTGCTGCACTTTCTGGAAGCAGCTTCCCTGCGACCTCATCACGGGTTTTGTTTAGGGAAAGCAAGGGGATCTGTAAGGGGTTTTATGAGAAGATGAATGGGCGTTACATGCTGAGAGCTGAGATGCTATTTCATTTGACCGTTGCAAAATCTACAGTTTATGCCTTCATGCTGCCTTGCTTACTGCCCATCCCCTGTCAGCCAGTTGCCAAGCCTTGTCAATTCCGCCTCCACTTTGTCTCCCACGTGTGTCCTTTCCCTCCACTTTCACATGGCTACGTCTTTAGTTTCTACCTTCAATACTCTTACCAAGAAGTTTTTCATATCACCTTTCTTATCACGTCTCTTTCTTCTCTTCAATTCCTCACAACCAGAACTGATACTCACCTCCGAAAAATAATACCATCGATCATGTTACGTCCATATGCAAATATCTTAAATTTATTACAAATTGCTCACAGATTAGCTCTAATTTTTTATCTGAAGCTGGAGATGTGCATTCCCTACAGACTCTGAGCTTCTTTATCTACATGTCCTGCCTGATCCACAAGAAATTCCCCGTTTCTCCCATCTCTCCATGTCTAAAGCCCCTCTTCAAGCCACATGTGTGTTGTTTTAAGCTGCTAAGTGTGTGGTATTGTTACATGCCTATAGATAAATAATAGACATGCAGACTTGTGCATTGACTCAGCTTCCCTGTCCCTCTGGTAATACTTCAAGTTTATATTAATGTAATTTCCACAAACAATGAAAAATTACACCCTGTTGTTCTTGAGAAGCAATGAGACGCACGATTCTCTTTTATCGTATATCAGGTAGATGGCCATACAGAATTTACTAAAATACGTCAGTCTCAGCTTTTTCATCTGCAAAATCAAGTTTTGGGACTGTGATTCCTGAGATCCGTGGTCCTTTCTAAGTCTCAATATTCCTCTCCTATGTGCTTTTAACAGTGTCAAGTGCAAAGGAAGCCAATAAAAAATATCAAATTTTTGAAATCTAAATCAGTCAATCAATGAGCATTTATTGAGTGACTACTGTGTGCTCAGAATATTGCCCGGGAGCAATAAATCTTAAAACTCCCTTATGTGTCATAGATCATTTTGCTGAAGCTATTGATTTTCAAAAAATTTTCCCATGTGTCTTCCATTTCTACAGTTATTTTTATATTGATAATTCTTTAAAGTAAAGCTGTTCAGAGAAAAAGGCAGCATTCCCCCAAACTCTCTCCATCTGTGTTACCAGTTAGTTGTTAGTGGTTGTTGAAGGATAGCTGGATATGGGAAATTGAATAACTCGATCAGGCAGAGCTGGCTTCAGGGCGTGTGATCTGTGAGTCTCAGTTTAATGGCCTGTGTTTGCTGATCTTGAAACTCTTAACATTCTTTGAGCAAGAGGCCCATGTTTTCATTTTTCACTGCGTCCCACAAATTCTGTAGCCAGTCCCGCCCTCCCGTGATTCTGATATATCCCTCTTTCCCTTCCCTCTTGACAATTAGTAGAGAGGAAGAGGTTGTTTTAGGTTGCTTTCCCAGAAGCAGGCCTTAAGACAAGAGAGTGTGTGCAAGTGACTTATTAAGGAGGTGTTCTGAGGAGAAACAGACAAATTGGGGGATCCAGGGCAGCAGAGGGGAAGAAGCAGAGCAAAGTGTGATTTCAGGACAGCCCAGCAAGGATGCTCCAGGCTGGAGGCTTGTAGGGTGTAAGCTGTGGTCTCAGCATCTAGACCTGAGGTGAGGTAGTTGAGCTTCCAAACCCCTCCTCTTTGGGACAAGCATTGAGAGTGGGGAGAAGCTCCCAAGAATTTCCTGCTCTCCACACATGAAGTCAAGCAGACTCCAGTAGCTGAGGGCTGTCCTCAATAAACAGTCACAGGTACACAACTTTGGAGGCAGAAGCACCTTGAAGATGGGAAAGGCAAATGCTGAAACAGGAAAAGGAGCCCAAGGAGATCTGGGTGGAGCACGGATAGCATTCCCTGTAGTGGTCAACCGCTCTGAAACCAGTAAGCAATCTTTGTTATTCCAGAGTACACTTAACTAAGACTTCAAGTATAACGTTCTCCCATCACTTCAAATAATGATAAAGGAGCAGCAAATATGGCATATTCATTGATTGCATACTCTTTGCCAGATACTGTGCTATGGCCTGGAAGGATGAGGCATGGCTGATGTTGTACTCAAAAAACGAAAGTTAAAAGTAAGTGACAGAGACATTAATTTTTTCATGAAACATTTACTGTGAGCCAAACTTAGCACTAAGCATTGAGATTACCATGATGATGCCATTTGGTCCTTGCTCTCCGAAACTGATAGTGTGGAGAGAGGGCATCTGATTAACATGCAAACAAGTCAGCTCTGTAAGGTCTTTAGGAGGCACAGAAAGCCCATTCAAATGAAAGAAGAGCTTAAGTCTTCAGATGCTCTTTGATGGGGTTAGACTGAATTTCTAGAATGAATAAAATAAGGTAGCAAAGGGAATTCCAGGCTTGTTGATATATTAGCAAAAATATATAGACTTGCAATCATTTTTCCACCAACATTATTGAGTAAGGTGCTGGGGAGAAAATGATGAAAAAGGAGACCAAGTGCTTGCCCTCACGGAGCTTACATTCAAGTGATGGGAAGTAGTCATGTAGACAACGAAATTTCAAAATATAATACTTAGAGACAGAGATGTTTGCCAAGAAGGTAGGCATAGAAGAACATAATACATTCAAATATCTGTGAGTAGCTTGATGTGGTTGTGAAGCTGGAGAGATGTGATCATGAGAGAGAACACTGAGAGTACAGCGGGCAGCTTTAGCATGTTCCCTTGTCAGAGATGGGAGCTATTGGAGAGTTTTGTTTTTTTTTATTTTTTGGAGGAAGA